AGCACAGTCAGTGCAAAGTCAGAGCAGAGTCAGAGCACAGCATGAGAGAGGGGTGCCGAGAGTTCTCACAGTGCAGTTTTCCTTATCTGAGTGCCCTTGCAGAATCCAAGCACCGGCTTCACAAATAATCCTAGCTCCTCTCCTAGAATCTGTTCTGCCCCCAAAGTTCAGGATGGTTCCCCTACTCTGTCCGTGTAGGTCCAGGCTGAGCACCTAGCAAAAGCCAGAGTTCACCACCTGGTGCTGTCACGCCTGTGGCCATTAGGCAGCACTGTCCCCACTTTCCACCAGCCACAAGCACCCCCATGCCAGGACCTTGCTCTGAAAATGCCTTTTCCCCAGGCCTGTCAAGATCTTGAGCCTAATTTTGAAGCTAAGAGCTTTTGTTCAGGGAAGAAGCCAGGGAGCAGTCCTCATGCTCAGGAGACACCCACCTGGTGCCAACATATGACAGGCAGGCATCAACTCCAGACCCCAGAAAATAACTAGGAAAGAATCTCCCATTAGTAAGCCCCACAAGGGCAAGAATCGTGTTTCCTTGTTCACTTTGTGTTTCCAGGGCCCAGCACACTGTGTAGGCACATGGGTGACTCAATAAGGATTTGTTAAATGGCACACAGGATGATCAGTCCAGATTTCCAGCCAGAGGCTGTGGCAAAGACTTCAAAGAGATCTAATTGATAGTTTACATGAGGCACCTGAATGTCATGAGGATATCTGTAAACATCTGATAGAGTTTTAGGTTGAATAAGTGATAAATACATAGAAAACTAAACAACCAATGAAAGATCATTATCATTTCCAAGGGAAAAAATACAAAACAAAAACCTACAAGAGAGGTTAAGTAATCGTAGTTTTGCTATGTAGTTTGCTTAAAATAAACAGAGTATCGACGTACCCCAATCAGTGACCTAACCACTTTGGGGAAGCTGGGGAATGGGAAGGGTTCATATGAGTGGCGGAGACATGACCAAACCCTCCTGTTGGCTAGTCAACAGACAAGACCAAAACTGAACAATCAAGAAGGAGGCACACGAGCCTGTTAAAGAAGTGGAAGTAAGTGTGCACAGGGAAGTGTAAGGGCTGTTTCACATCACAGATCCTTAGAGCTCTGAAATTGGTAGATAATGTATAATTTTGACAGATTTTAAAAATCTTTTAAAAATTAGATGAATGTGAAAAGTGAAACATTAAAATATTAGAAGTAAATATAGGAGAGTATCTCTGAGACTTAAAAATGTCTTAAGGCACACAGAGCACAAACCCTAAAGAAAAAGATTGATAAATTCAGTCAATAAAATGTAAAAATACAAAGCACAAATGGGAGAAGATAATTGCAGCATATATAACCAACAAAGGATTTGTAGCAAAAATATGTATTTTAAAAACTGAGCCAAAAAAATTTTAAGGCAATCGATAGGAAGATGGGCTAAATAAAACAAGCAGGCAATTTCACAAGAGAGCAGACACGACTGTAAAAATATGAAAATCTGTTCGACTTTATTATCAGGGAAATGCACATTTAGAATAAAAATACCTTTTTTTTTTTCACTCACTGGATTGGCAAAATTTTTTAAGACTAGAACTCTAAGTGTTGACAAGGATGTGGATCAAATGAAATTCACGTGCCCTTTAATGGAGTTTGCGTTCACTCTACAACCAGCGATTCTCCACGCGCACCAGGAAAAGAGGCACACCAGTTATCAGCCCCAGGAAGGTACGCAACAATGTTCATAATTGCAAAAAACTAGAAACAAGTCCGATGTCCTTGGACAAGGGAACATTTAAGTGGAAAGTGGTATATTCACACAATGGAATCTAGACAGAAAAGAAAATGAACGACAGTCACACACATCAACCTTGATGAATCCTATAAACAATTTTAAGTCAGAAATGGCAAACCACAGAAGAAAATTGTATGACACCATCATTTAAAAACGAGTCAGATCAATATATTGTTTAGGGATACATATGGACACACCTGGTTTTAAGATGATAGGTAGATGGATGCTAAGATGGATTTCAAAAAAATCCAGAATAGTGAATACCTCTAGAAGATGATGGAATTGGAGAAGAGACATAGTTTCTTATCAAAAATAGTGACATCTTGAAGATCGCTATGACAGCGGCGTTGTCGTGGGCCTTGTGATCACGCCAGGGCCTGGCTGCCTCCTCAACTGTGGGCACTGCAGCCTCTGGCAAGAGTGGGCCTCCCGCTGTGGGCTGCCACCCTTCCCTCCCCGCGCCACATTCCGACTCTGGGCATGCCCAGGGAACATGTCCCTGGCTGCCTACTGCTACCCACAGGTCCTGGGCAGGGGCAGCTATGGGGAGGTGATGCTGGTGAGGCACCAGCAGTACCGGCAGGCAGTAAGTAAGTGTGTCATCAAAAAACTGAACCTCCGAAAAGCCTCCAGCCCAGAACGCAAGCTGCCCAACAAGAAGCCCAGCTGTTGTCTCAGCTGAAGCACCCTATTGTCATCTACCACAGCGGTTCCCAACCTTTTTGGCACCAGGGACCCGTACTCCTATGAGAATCTAATACCTGATGGTCTGAGGTGGAGCTGAGGCTGAGATGCTGAGGAGGGGCTGCAAATACTGATGAAGCTTTGCAGCTACTTATCTCCTGCTGTGCTGCCCACCGGGTAAGCCACAGGGAGTCATGGAAGGCAGGGGATGGTCTGCCATACATCGTCATGGGCTTCTGTGAAGGAAGTGATCTGTAGGG